TAACAGTGATTTGGTTTTTCAAACCATTTTCTTAAATGAGTGAGTGCGTAGCTGATCACGTGACCAAACTGTAATTTTTAAAATTATGAATTACCTCTTTCTGAACACAAATTTTGCACTTAAACTTCAAGGAAAGTGTTGAAAAGTTGATGTGGGAATGTTTACAGCACTTCTGAGCGTAACTATCAAACGTTATCAAGATCTAAGCAAAAAGTAGTTTTGGCCGCCATGTTGGAGGGTATGCCCTCCAACATGGCGGCCAATACAAATCATACTACTTTGTTGAAAAATCAAAGTGCCATAAAATATCTCCCTTAAATGCGTTTCCTCTCAAATTTCGGTTGTAAGATAATTTTTATGTGCTCTGTCAATTTTTGGCATCAGCAAGATTCTAACTCATTGTTTAAAGGAGGCATTGGTCACGTGACCTCTTAGTGCAAGTGGCCTATTGGGTTCTATTATCGAACGTTCGATTAGCTAGGCCGGGTAGATCATCGTTATGAAGTTCTGTGATGGAGCGAGTGAGTGTTGTCGATTTGCTTGAAAAACCAAAGTGGCCTCGTAACATTTCACCGAAAGGGAATGTTGGTCATCTTTGCTGAAAAACGTCTTAGGACCTGTTTGCAAGTTGGAAAGGTAACCATGGTGTTAGGGTTACCCTAGTGAGAGGGTTAGAGATAACTCTGGTTTACAAGCAAAATTTCCGAGATAGGATTACCCCATCGAACGGGTCAACTTTACAAGTTTGCATGGTTTGTTTCGTCATGCGTGACCACACAGGACTAAAATACACATTCTTTGTGACGTCCAACATTTGAACGAGATCTTAAAAATCTCTATGTTAAACACGTTAAATTCACGGAAAAAAAGGAAAGATGTTTTTTATCGTATGAAGAAAATATCTAATATTGTTCAGATGTTTAAGACTTAGCTCGAAAAATTGGATAACGCCGCCCCCGGGGTGGGGGGGGGGAGGGTACTCAACAAATGTCTATACTGGGAGGCCCCACCCCAGTTCCAAACCTTACCCTTTTTAATACCATTTTTCACGAAAAAGGTACCCCTTTCGTATACCTTCTATTAACAAATGGTACCCCTTTCACACACCTTGTCTAGAACTTTGCATCCCTTTTAACTGCTGTAAATTCACTGTCTTTTAAATAGGAATCAATCACAAAATTAGAACGTTTTCTCGACTCACTTATAAAGCCACACATTTCATCCTTTAGCCCTTTTGGGCCCTTTCACAGAACCAAATGACATATTTCCCTACCCTTTTATATATTTCAACTAGTGAAATCCCTACCCTTTCAACAACAACAACAACATAAGCTTTACTTGCATGACTACAATTATGTAGTTACTGTGTTGCAAAAACTTTAAAATAAAGTTACAATTTATAACAATGATAATGCAATGTAATGATTACTACACTGTCATATACCTGAAACCTGAAAAAGATACTCCTTTTGGGCGAAGCCTCCCCGCATAGGCCATCATAGGGAGTGCGCCCCGGGAACACGGCTCAAATGTTCAAGAACGCTTGACGGTTAACTGAAGTTGTCTCGGGTAGGCGAGTTATCGCTAGCAGAGCGTTTACAAGGCAGGTAGGGAAACCCTCTTGCTAGGGTAACCCTAGCACTCAGGTAGGGTTACCCTAGCGACTAGGGTAACCCTAGCACCTGGGTTATCCTCCCTCCTTATAAACAGGTCCTTAAATTTGCTATTGTGGCACTCTTTTTTGTTACACACGCCAAGCAAACAGTTGCTCGCAAATGAATCTACAACGTTGACCAGCTAGCCCGTCCGCCCTTACAGTGGGCACACGTACACCAGCTTTCTATTGTGGCTATGAGCACTTATCAAGTCGCGTCTTATTAACCAAACAAACCAAGCAAACCAGTTGGCTATTTACATGCGTAGTGCAGAACCTGAACTCGGGACTACCGAGAACAAATCCACCTAGCGTTCAGGGCGGAACTTGGATTCGGGGCTTCCGAATTACAAGCCCAGCGCTCTAACCGCTCAGCCACCATGTCTCCACTTCAATCATCAGCAAAAAGCCAGCATGCGACTTTTTCTAGCGTTGTGCATGCGTGCGCCCCTTCCCGAGGTCCTTTCCCTGGCACCAAATAGTCAAAAATAACTTTGGCGGTACAACTATGCCGTGTTTAAATTTATTTTTTTAACATCCGAGAGTCTTGGTGTATGCGTTTCATTCATGGAAAAAGTACTTAAAATGAAATGTGGCAGTTTCGCTCGATATACATGTGAAAAGCGCGAGTCGCACACTCCTAAAAGTCGGCAGTTTGTGAAGTGAGGAAGGCGCTGAGTTCACACTGTACCGAATGGCTTTTGTGCTGACATGACACTGACATGAAAAGCTATCCGCTATAGAGTGAACACCTATCCGATATGTAACTCTCCACTTTAGAGATATCGGCACAGTCCATCTTCGCTCCGTTACAGAAATTGCGCCGAAATCACCGTTCTTATGTGTGAATAGAACTCCCTATCCGGAATGGTTTTCGTTTCGGCGCAAAAGCTATCCGGTATCAGCGGTAAAGTGTGAACATAGCCTAAGGTTATTTATTATGTACCAATCATCTCATTTCCAAAGCGTGTTTGAGGAATAGTTACTCATTATATGTCTCTTATCGAATTGGAATTTGAAAAGTCCAGTTCAGTTAATAATTAAATCCAAATTAAGGCTTTATAATTTGTCATTTATCAATTACGCAGGTGGTCTTGTTCTTGATGGCATGCAACAACAGCTGACAAACGTGGAGAGAAAAATCTCTCTTTTAGCTGACAAAAATCTTGTTTATGAGATGACCGCGAGGATCATACACAATGTATCATCAAATCAAACTGAAGGGCGCAGATTGCTTGAAACGAAGATAGAAAATCAGTCCCTGGAGTTAAATCAAATTAATTGCACAGGTAATACCTTTCAGACATACTCACACAGAATTATATACCTTGTTTAGGACAGAGAGGTCAAAAACCATACCCTGTCCAGCGGCACATCCCTGTATAGACCATATAAGGGAGTACCCCTGCGTATCATTTATGAGTTGGGTGATATTTGACCCGCCTATCGTTATCTCTGTGGCTATCACAAGCTGAATCAAAACTGACCGGACCTGCCTTCTATTGTAGTTATGACCACTTATCAAGTCGCGTCTTATTAACTTTGGAGTTTTGTTAACGAACCACGTTGCCTTTCTACGGTTTTTGAATAGTCCGTTAGGGGCTTTGTGCTAGTACTGTTTCAGTATCAAAGAATATTCATCCTAATACTTTCACGATATTGCCAACCTATTTGGGCACAGGATATATAAAATGACGTCAATAACGCAGTTCACCACCGGAAAAAAGGCAAGGTTATCAAAAGCCTTGGGGCGAGGCTGTGTTAGCTCAGCTGTTTTGGTAGCGCTGTTGAGAATGTCAGAGAACTCCACACGTTTTGCGAACTGAGAGAGTTTATTAAGCTTCATGTATACGGCAAACGGCAAACGTAAGATTCAAGTTGAGAATTTCTAAAAATTGAAAATGAGCAGATAAAGAAAGCTCAAAACAATTCTCATGGATAAAAAATTGCGTGAAATTGCTAATTTATTTGTAGAAACGAAAAGTAAAGGGGGAAACTTAATCACGTGGTACAAATTAGCGTTTAACGTGATGCTTAACCTCTCTATTAAAAAGAAAAAGTCGAGCTACTGCCTGAGATATTAAAGAACAGCAAAATACAAATCTACTGATGATGTGGCTGCCCTCGTAAGCTGTATTTGGCTTCCGAAGGAGTTTCATTGTTATTCACAAGAAAAAAGAAACACTTTGATCCTCAAATCTTCAGTTTATCTCCTTCCGTTCTTCAGATAATCCTTAACTCTTCAGTTCTTCAGTTCTTCAGATAACAACTTAGTCTGCCTTACACGATACGGATGAGCGAAGGATTACAGGGATTGTAAACCTAAATCACACAATGTGATAAACAAGAACATGGTGGCAACTAGCACGAGTCCTAAGCAAAATGGTAACAACCGCTGACCATAAATACTGACAACTCCTTACTACGGCACTGCTGTAGTGACAGATGACAAATGCTTTCTGAAGAATATCTGCTGATTAAGCCACGGCAATCCCGTTTAATATCGGTAGCCAGTCTGTTTTCATAATAATAATAATAATACTAATAATAATAATAATGATAATAATAATAATATCCTTTGTTTACCCTCGGCAGTACTTATAGCACTATAATGCTAGTGGGGCCAAGCAAATTCCTGAAATTATTCATTATATGTCTTTAAATGTCTCTTATCGAATTCAGTTAAATGATTAAAATCAAATTAAGGCTTTATAATTTATCAATTACGCAGGTTGTCAAGATTGTCGTACCCCAAATGAAGTGAATCAACAGCTGAACGAGGTGCTTGAAAATCTCAACGATACGGTCGCGAAGATAGTATCATCAAATCAAACTAGAGAGTGCAGCTCGCTTGTTAATAAGATTAATCATCTGACCTCGGAGTTCGAAGACTTGGCAGCGAGAGTAAATCAATCTGATGAAGGTAGGGTTAAAGTTCATTTTAAAAGCGAAAAGAGTTAAATTTGTATCCAAACTGCTTACCCCTTTTCGAAAACACCAAATTTTTATCAATCTCTTGCAATAGCCATTAACAATTAACAATTAACAATTAACTGAAAGTTCAGTGCAAGATCATCCTTATGAAATGCTGTGAAAGGTTATAAAGGAGTGAGCGAGTGTCACTCTTTGCCCTCTTTATGTGACCGATTTGCTTGAAAAATCAAGGTGTCCTTGTTAAATTTCACCCCGGAAAAGGAAAGTACGGCGAGAATTCTACCAAGGTTTAACTTTGGGAAACTCGCACTGACAAACGTCAAATAATTTGCTACTGTGGCACTCTTTTTTTGACACACGCCAAGCAAACAGTTGCGTGCAAATGAACCTACACCGTTGAGCACTGACCCAGCCAGCCCTTCTGCACTTACAGTGTTGGACCAAGGACACACGTATACCACTGCATGTTGGGAAGTTTAGAGGTGTGCTTGACCAAAAATTAGGGAGCTTAAGCAACGATGACGTCGACGGCAACGAGAACGGCAGAAAGGCAGTAGGTATAAATTGGCAAAACAACAATTTTGCACGTGTTTTGGTCAAACGGTTAAGACGGTAATAGACCTTTTTTCACGATTCCCGCCATCTTTGCACATGCTTTATAATTCCTAGGATAAAAGCAATGTCACGTGGTATTTCAGGAGGCAAACAAGTGATAAAATTTGCTAACACGAGTAGTTTCTTCATTCCCTCAAAACCAAACGGCAATTATATTCTTGCAAAATGTACGGTTCGAGTATCGACAAGTTTTATGTCATTATTGCTTGCTGTGAGCACACGGTACGGTCACTACTGCATACAAAAAAATAATAATGATGGCCTCCACCCATAATTGGCCATTTAAGATAAAAAGTTCATTTTTTTGTCGTCCAGAATAAACAAACTCGGCCGCGATTTGTTGTATTGGTGGAGTAGTTTTCCTCCTGGCAAACCACGTGACATAGCTTTTTATCCCATCGGTCCTTAAGAGCGTGCAAAGATGGTGGATATCGTGAATAAGGTTTATTCGAGTTACTGACTTGTAGACATGTTTTTGTTTCAGGCCCCTGGATCAAAATGAATGAGTCTCCAATATGCTTTGGTGTGACAGACAACAATGCAAGAAGTTTTAAGGTCCCATCTAGTGGTACACTGGCATCAGTAAAACTGGTCCACCTGGATGGTTATGTGAGATGCCATGATGGCAATTGGTCGTTTTGGGGCTGCGGCCAAAACCCTAAACTTGATGTAAACGTTGAAATAAGATACTCGTCTGGTAGCCCTATTTTACCCTCACGCGAGTTCGTGACCGTCAGGGAAACCAGGAAAACGGAGTTTTTGCGGATCCCTGGTTACAACTCGCTTTCTCCAGAGCTGGTGCTAACGGCCGACGTCTCCAATCCTCCAAACGTGACTCAAGGACAGTGGCTAAGTTTGTACCACAGATATGGTTCATCGTCTTCCTGTGAAGGCCACAAAGGAGGGAAATCGTGTTGCGATGTTTATGCTCGTTTTTATAAGCGACGGCCATCAAAACGCATCTGATTCCGCATACAGTTTAGCTTGCTTGTAATGATGCCTAGACTTAAGCTAGGGGACGTTTCAGATTAATTTAATGGATTAAGGTTCTTTTATTCATCGCTGATAAGTGCAAACACCAGCTCAATGCGAACTCAATAAAATAAACTTTTTTTACTATATTTTCCAGTTTTTAAGCTTTCGTGCTGGGTTCAAAGTGCTAATCAATAACACGGTAAAGTCTGAGGTTACTGCTTGGGTGGGGGTGGGGTGGGGGTGTACCGTTAATTCCGTTAAGGATCTTCTCACAGCACTTACCATATATGCGAAACAACTTGGTCTACTGTGCGACCCATATTGATTTGAGGTTGACCACTAATTACTTAACATTCACTGTTCTATGTATCGGCGAATAGTCTTATATACTGCACTCGGCTAATCAAGTCAAATCAAACCCTTTATTTATACACGATGACATATAAAGCTGAGAAGCTTGAGGGGTCGTGTTTAGGATAAATAATTGCACGAATTTTCGATTAAAATAAGTTAAAACACTGAAAAATCTTAAAATACTTTTCCGAATTAGCTCTTTAGTGAAAAATTAACTCTTTATTTTAGTTTATTATAATCCAGTTATTTTTGTCACTTGACAATGTAATTTCCTACTGGAGTCTTAGTATGGATACGCGGCTTTTCAGAATAATATTGTTGATAATATTGATTATTGATAATATTGTTATTGAATTGAGTATAAAACACTGAAGTAGTTTTTCTGAAAGGAAAGGTGCATCGAAAGCAGAAACCTCCAACAAATTAAAAGGACTGTTTGGTTTTCGCCTTTTTTGCCTGGCCTTTGTTACCCTCGTCCCTAATTTCCCGATTTTTTCCTACACTAGCATTGACATCCATTATTATAACCAGATCCGATTGACAAAGGTTAATAACGTAAATCATTATGATACTCAATGATACTATGATTTTCAAGTCACGTGGGTTTTGAAATCTTGCGAGAATCAGTTCGTATTCTCTCATTGGCTTTATCAACAGAATCTGACAGCAGATCTAATTGTCGAAGCTGCCTGTTCTGTTCATCCTGTATTCCCAGTGCGAGACGTCTCATATCCTGCAGAACCTGCCCCATCTTAGCCGCTTCAGCATCTGTTACTGACTTGGAATTCTTTGCTGTACAGCTGTTAAATTGAGAGTTTCCTTTAGCCGCGCTTGCAGCATCGTTGTTATCTGTAATGAAAGACAGAATTATTTTTGGTATAAATGCTATTCAAAAGAGCCAAAAGAGCTGGACCTTGTCGGTGCTGTGAGAATAAAAGTATAATAATTAATATTGCTATTCCCTTTCCTTCTAGACTGGATATTGCTTTGTTACAAGGTCACCTGGTTAGGGGAAGGAAGGGGGGGAGGAGAGTAGGAATGTCCAAGCCTCCTTTCTCAGCTACCTGAACACATCGGTGGGGAAAGAGTTAACGTGAAGCAAAGCTCTAGTAAAAGTTAGTTGAACCGTATTGTTTTCCACTACCCAAAATGTTGATTCTGGCGTGCAAAAAAGACAAAACAGCTTCACTTCTTCCCTTCTTCCCCTGGGCATTTGAAAGCTTTACTTTGTTGAGCAGTTTTTGCCAAAATAGCCTAGAGGAGATTTTGGTGGAAAGGAGGGAGGGGAAGAGATAAAGGAAGGACTGGCACAAAATAAGCTTGATTACCAGCACCTGGTCTTGGAAATGAACCTGAGCTGTCTGAGGTACTTACTTTCTTCTCAGGGAGGAGCGAGCCTGGACTCCAAAGCCTGTCTCCCATTTTTGCTTCCCAACAGTCTCCATTCCCCCGAAAACACCAGATAATCAGGTTATTGGAAAAAAGAAACATTTCATTACTTAATTTGCTAATGAGTAAAAGAATAAAACTGCAGTTCTACCCCCTTGAAGGGGGCGGAGGGGAGGGCGGTATTTTACAAAGTTTTATACTGGAAGGCTCTGCCCTGAGGTCCAACCCCTTAACCTTTTATATACAACTTTGACAAAAACAGTACTCCTTCCCAACACCTTCTATTGACAAATGGTACCCCTTTCACAATGATATCCCCTTACATTCTTTTAAATTGCTATTGCCATTTCGGAGTTGCGTAGGGAACTGGGGAACTGGGGGAAAAGGTCATGTTGAGATTGGTTATTTGACCAAGTTTGGTGCTCTAAAATTGAACAGGAATCAAGTTATGACTCTTGAAACATGGTTAAAAATCCATACAAACGTCCATAATTTTGTGAAAGCGTCCCCAAAAACCATATAAACTCTTTAAATTTTTTCAGTTTTTCTTTTAAACTGTAAAATTCGTCATGCATCTACTACTTGGAAGGAACTTATTCGAAAATTACTGTGTTTGCCTGTTTTTAGGAATATCACGGAAATCGTGAAAAAATTAAGAGTTTATATGGTTTTGGGGGACGCTGTCACAAAATTACAGAGGTTTGTATGGATCTTTAACCATGTTTCAAGAGTCATAACTTGATCCCTGTTCAACCTTAGAGCACCAGACTTGTTCAAAAAACCAATCTTAACATGACCAGTTTTATATGGTGGTGTCAGTTTATCGACTAGTTTGATTTTGAAACTCGCCCAAGTTCCCTACGCAATTCATCACGTTTATTGATGCCCAGAGACTTTGGAGAATTTTCTGATGAGTTTGAGGCATTTATTCGTGCATTTTGCGTTCTTAATGGGATTAGTGAAATAAAGACGACCAGTTTTTACTGATTACCGAAAGATAATGCCTAAATGTTATTGGAACAGTAAGAAGAAGCAATATGCTTCCAGATGAGAGCACATAGTCTAGGATTTGATGACCTGAAGTACTTTTAAACGATCATCAAAAAACTCGTATAACAGAAACTAAAATTTGCATATTCTAGCCGCCAAAGGTCGTCCAGCTGATGGAATGCTGCGAATGGCAGTAAAATAAACAATTTCCTCATTCTAACTGGAATTTCGTCATTAGAATGGATAGTAGTATTGGTGGCAAAAATATAAGGCAAAAGTTTTGTTGTGCCCGAAATCGAGTGGAACGCTTTTAGGGAGACTGCCTCTTATTTACTTGCGGCACGATATTCCTTTATTGTCGGCTTCATCCGTTCTTGGTTTTCACATGACGTCACCAAAATTCAAACTAAGAAACTATCGCTTCTTCTGAGTTTCTACTTTCAAGCAAATTTCCGGTTCAAAAGGGTTCTTTGTTTTGCGATACAGGACGCTTGAATTTTCAGGCTTTTGCGTGACGCGCCATTTGGCTGGCGGCCGAGAAGCTCTTAAGCGGGTTGAAAACATCACGGATTTTTGGAGATCTTGCTATCTAAAAATTCCTTGTTTTAGAATAAATATTGCTTTAATGTTTATGAGTTCCTAAATTTCCGTCGGCCAAATTTGTGCCCCTGAAAAGGACACAAACATGGCGTTTCCATACAAAGCTTTATAAATTTGGGTAAAACGTTTTTCCGAATATCTCGCACATGAACTATTGCATAGACCTGATTCTTGGCAAGGCTTTTTGTATATTTATCTTCTTTCATTCCCAGATTCTAGACTTTCTGTATTAAAAGGTTTCAATTTTTTTTTCTGCTTTCTCACGAGAGTGAAAACCGAGAATACGTTAAATCTTCGCCGCACCACAAACGAAGTTCATGTCCTCGAGTTACGTTTGGAGGATTAGAGAAAGCAGACAGCAACAGCTCCTGACAAAAAGATTTGTAACCGGGAATCTTAGACCACGCGGTATTCTTGTAAATGATACACTGATTTGACAGAAACTATATCGAGCAAAATGCTCATAATTTTTACATCTCATAAGCTATATAGCAAACTTCTGACTCCTTTGTTACGACTATTTAGCCTAGGGTAATTGCCGGGTACCGACGTTCGAATGATCAAGAAAAGTTTCTCTCATACTTTGTGGTTGCTCCCAAATGGCACAGACAGTTTTCAAGGACAGCCATGATCGAATGCTATATATTGACCATTGTAATCAAAGTTTGGTGAATGATAAACTCGATCATGTCTGGCAAATCCCTGCAAACAGAGCCTACATTTTCGCAGTGTGAGTACGTGAAGTGCGTCCCAGTACTTTTCGCATGCAGCTCACACCGCGAAAATATAGGCTCTACTCGAACGTAGGGTATAGAAAATTACACAAAAACCCCGACAATTAAATTCTGTGCTGAGTCGAACCCCCCGGCGCACCCAACGAAGATTCCCTCTTAATTACATTGAAAACAGTTTTTTAGGCTATCCAGAGTACTATTAGATCTTTTAAAATGCATTCTAAGCGGCTCTATAAAATTTGTATCTGTTCGGTCATCCTAGGGCAACTTGAGACTTTTCGAAATCACAAGGGCTTCAGTATCATTTTGCCGAAAAATTTCGATGCAATTTAACGTATTAGCGTGATAGGTAATAGCATGATTTGAGTGGTATTTATGCCAAATATCTCGTACAAATCATGATATTATTTGTTTATACTACTACTCGCAAAGGTTTTGTAATTTTCACATGTAGGTATTACACAGTGTATGAAATAGCACTGCTCTTATCTAATCAAATTGCAGAAATTTCTTATGTAGCCGGCGATAACGAAAGAAAGAATTTTCGATTCCTCTGTCCATCACATTTTTGAATCGAAAAATTTTAGTTTTCCTTTTTTCGACGAAAAATAACCTAACCTGGTGAGTGAAATTATAAGACAGCGTCGAAAATTGCACGTGAATGGAACGATCATCTAGATATTTTTAGATGCTAGGCAATATTTGCTTCTCTGAACAGATATTTTACAGAAAACAGTCGTTGGGTGCCCCTGAACCCAACTTTACGGACAGGTTTCTTTGTCCCTGGGGAAAGCCCTTAGTACATTTCCTCTAAATTCAATTCGTTTAATAAGGACATCCGTTAATGCGGACAACGAACACTTATTTCTCGCCCAATCAACGATTCTTATT